CCCCCACGGCTGAAAGGGCGAACATGTTTGGTGTGATAAGTACACGGAGAAAAATATTTGTGATTATGGGTAATATTGTTAAGGAAAAACAATGACGACTTCTCCTCCCTTATTTTTTTCCACTAATGTACGACGAATAAAACTTTTTAAAACAAAAATTTCAACGGTAACAAATATATTATTATAACGTCGATCTTTATTTTATTTCTTCCTTAACGTTTCTACAAGCTTATTCACTGTTGTATCTTGTAGATATAAATTTACAAAGACCGCCTAAACGGAAATATCTCGTTAACGGTTCTGCGACTAACTTAAAAATAAACTTGTAGAATATTCGAGTAACTGAATATAAGGGGTAACTAACTCACTCAGTGCCCGTTAACTGAAAACTAAAAACCATCTCATTCAGCTTACTAATGGACTAGCCAAATAGTTTTATATCTGATGTCTCCCATAGATAGTTCTTTCGGTTACTAGATTTCGTGACGTCATCTAAAACATTATAAGAATTCTAGGCCTGCTTTTATTAACTTTTCATCTTAACGTCATTCGCGCTCTCGCTAATATATAAATCAAAGCATTGAAATTAAAGCTTGCAACAATATAATTATGACTGAATCCACTTCTTAAATTATCTGTAGATTCCGTTAAACAGTGCTTAGGTCTTAAAATTAGATGATAAACTATTGTTAATATAGGCTTGCTATTGTATCTCAAAGCCCTAATTTTTGAACTGGTCTGGGGAAGTTTACTCTGTCAGACCTCGTAGAACGTTATTATAATATAAATTCAGACAGTTTAAGCTTATATTCCATTAAATTCTATCTATAACTAAATCTCAGAAGTAATATATTTTGAATAAAAGGCTTAGCATTTAGTCGTCATTATATATCACAGAAAAGGAATATGAAAAATTTAAAGTAATATTATAATACAATATTATTTTATTTATTTGTCTATTTATTTTCTGATTACTTAAATATGGAGTAGTTATTTTGGTTACGTTTAGCAAGATCAGTTCGGATTTCATACTTCTAGGTTTCCAGGCTTGGCAGTGTAAATACATGATTACACATTTTGCATTTTAGCTCTTATTATTGATAACAATACAATTATAGCATTTAATATATAACATAATATGTTTATTAGGAAGGGAAAAAAGTGGGCTTGGTAAATTGTCTTTGTTGTATAAAAAGTGGAAAGACCAGATGCTATTTTTAAAACCAAAATGATTTTGACGTTATTAGTAGAACCTCTACCAGAGTATTGGAGGAGTGGAGCCAGTGTCATACACTTCAGGCGTATATTAGTAGTCAAAACAATAGTATCAAATTATGTTATTTACATTACAATAATAAATTCAAACTGATTGCCTCCTTTTCATCGGTGGCTTCGGGAATATAGACAGTGCTACGCTACCGGAATTATGCACTTATAAACGTGTTGCAACAGGACTCCATAACTGGGGAGAGAACAGCCAGAGCTATGACTACTGCTTAACTTTTGTAGCGTGTAGGTGAAATCAAATCAAATGATTTTAATAGCAAAGTATAGGGAATGATAAAGGCCATTTATTAAATTTTCTGAGCATTGTACTGAACAGTTGTAAACTATTAAACTAAAAGGATTGCTTTCATTAATGTTTGTATTCATTAATTCATTTTCTTTTTCATACACAAGATTCGTTTCCTGGATATCCAAACGTATTCCCGATTAATCCGTGGATTTACACAGGTTATCCACCGGGCAAACCTGTGGATCCAAACGATCCATACATAATCTACGTTCGGTCGAAGATGAAGGAAGGTGAAAAGAAACCTTAACTATTATCGAGGAGCTCTAGTTAAAATGTGTTTAAAGCTCCGATTTTTTTATATTAATAAAGTTTTATTTCACAAATTGGTAACAGAAAAGCTCGACTCACTCCTCAAAAATACTTCTAAAACATTTTATGTTTTAAAAGACACAATACATGACATTGTAACTTAAGAGATGAAAGAAAGAGTTTAAATTCTTAGAAGTACGTACTGATTTTGAACTATCGTAGAAAACATTCTTCTTAAGAGCGCAACCTACTTATTAAAATTTAAAAAAAGAACAATTGTTGGTTTGCTAAAATAGACAAACAATATTTATAGAGACACGCAATTGTTTATACTCAGACTGTTGACAACGTATATATTGTTTGTTTTTAGAATACGTGTTTTTTTTAAACTTATGCAAGAATTTCAATTCTAAGAATCGAACTGCTCTCATACAGTTTACTTCTAACATAGAACAGCGATTACAGAGTTTATTGTTGTCATCACCACAGAACTCACTTCGGACATAATATACAGATGCCACAGATTTTAGTGCTAAAATACAATTAGTCACGTGTTTACTGTTTTTATAATGATATTACTATATAATTTACTTTATTACTACTGATATGGTACAATTTCGACATAGCTGACTGTTGTTATAGTATAATTTTGTATGCAGATGTCAGATAATAAATATTTGTACAACCAAGATCTTTAAACGAGAAATAAAATTTTGGAACTTCTTTACAATTCTAGTTCAAAAGTCGATAACCCCGGTGTGCGCCATGAGCACGTGAATTTATGGCTCTTTAACACGAATATATCAGGGATGTTAGTTAGTTCTATTATATCCAAAATCATCCTAAGTGTGAGATTACTTATCGGCTGTTACGCGATTCTTCCATTGTATGATTGCTAAGAGCTATAGAGAAATTGTAGAACATGAAAGCGGTTTTGGAGAGATATTCTCTTAAAATTTCGAAAAGCTAAGACATACTAATGAAGTCTTCCATGTCCGCATTTTCTTTGTTAGGTTTAGTCTTCTTTCTTCAGACCCTTCCCCCTGTGGTTCAGCAACAAAACTGAGGCTAAAATCGTTAACATTAGGAGTTTCTATACTCACCGTTAGCAGCGAAGATAGATTATTATGTAGCTTTCTGCTGAACAGCAAAGAAACAATTTCTTCTGCGGATAACATGTATGACTGCCAAAATTTAAGATGACACATCAAATTCAGTTCATTTTAAAACAGTTTTATTTTCATTTTATTACAGTTTCCATACTCAGTTCATACACTATTCTTCATTTTCAGTTACCTTTTAAATCTAATATTCAAGCGTCTTGTAAAGCATCATGTTCGTCTTTATCTACGCTATACTTTCCTTTCTACATGCCAAGTTCACGAAGGTCTTGTAGCCATGATCAGGTGGCCATGTGCTATATCTATATCTGTTACAAAGTAATTGTTCACATATCGTAGTTACTAAAGATATACGCTTAAGTAATTGAAGTTCAAAATTGGCCGCTCAATTAAATATATGAGCCGTTTAACACAACAGAAACACACACATGAGCAGCTGTGCACGTATATCAGGAAACAAAACATCTAACCGAATGTTCGACATGCTAAGTACTAGGCCACCTCAGACCCCAATTAAAGGACGCACTTACAAGAAAACGTTTTACAATAAACAAACATATCATTACTATCTTTGTGGGATCCAAATTTTGATAGGAGTTTTCATTTCAACACATAAAGAAAACAATAATAAGCAAAATGTATACAATACTGTCCACACAAAGACGAATATGGTCCTTGCAATACTTTTTGGTTGTAAGTCCACGTTTGACAGTTCTTCTTAATGGATTTTCTTATAATGAGATTATGTGGAGGTAGTCCTAATGGATTAAAATGTTTTCATTTCGACCAAAGTAAATACAGACCCAGTGGCTACTGTGTTTAAGACTCGGCTCCAGGTTG